TAGGTCTTAGCTAACCAAGTAGGTCTTAGCTAACCAAATAGGTCTTAGCTAACCAAATAGGTCTTAGCTAACCAAATAGGTCTTAGCTTACCAAGTAGGTCTTAGCTAACCAAATAGGTCTTAGCTAACCAAGTAGGTCTTAGCTAACCAAGTAGGTCTTAGCTAACCAAATTGCGAGAGAAACTTGCACGTCATATCATATACTACTGTCGTTTCTATTCCTTCGTCCTGTCTAGATTACTAATTAACACCAGATAAAAAGTATAGATAATATACTTTATTCAGAAATCAATTCAAAACACTGACAGATTTTTGTGTTTTGTTGACTTAGCCTTCATGTCTGTTTATTGGGTCGTTGTACCCGGCACAAGCAAAAAACAATGGCGGACTAAACATTTGTCTTTTTTGAATGAATAGCTATATAGTGATAACATTCATTGGAGCTCACTAAATGTTCCTCCTGTAAACTAACTGCCACGCTCGTTATTATTTCTGTTTCTGTGACATAGCAATGCTGCAGACTTGCATGGAATTCCATAGAAAGTATTAAATTTCTGTAACGGGAGCTGGAACTGTTAGGTAGGCTTATACCATGAATATGGAATCTGATTAAAATCATATGTTACATGGCTTCGTTAACTATGATTTTAATCAGATTGCATGAATATGTAGACGAGTTTAATACTTGTGTTTCGGTGTTTATGAAAAGATCATGTATCACATATACATTATTAATACATTGCTGGACGTTTAGTATGCACGGTATATATATGTTACCAAAGACACAGAGCGTGCGCCGAGTATCTAAGGCATATCGATCTTATCAAGCCCGTCTTATGTATCGAGTCTTCATCATAGTTATAGCTTGGTGTTACAGCTATTTAGTGATAACATTCATTGGAGCTCACTAAATGTTCCTCCTGTAAACTAACTGCCACGCTCGTCATTATTTCTGTTTCTGTGACATAGCAATGCTATAGGTCGGTGGAATAGGTCCGTTTCAGGGTGATCTAGGGAAAAAATTACTATGTTATCAAACTCTTCTGATTTCAACTCATCAATGTCTCTAGTATGATAGAAAAAAAGTCCTGAAAGATTCTCTTTGGGGGAAAAAATTGAGGCCATTTTTAAATTTGGACTATTTTTCACCTTTTTTCGCCAAAAATGAAGAACGAGAATATATCGGTTAGATGAAAGAAAATTCAGATTTTTGATATTTTCTTTGATATTAGAGTGCTGCAAATATGTTAATTTATAACACATAACTCTATATCATACTTTGGCAAAATTAATTGGCTCTGGTATTGGGATCATATTTCAAAATCCAAGATGGCTGACAATATCCGGATAAAAAACACCCAACATGGTACAAGCCCACTTCGGCCTGGTACAGGTATATTATTATAATATGATATATTGTAATAATATAATATATTGTAATAATAAACTAACACCAATATTGCATATATAACGCGTTATCTGATAGTGTGAAACAAATAGTTGGGTACATACAGAGGATACAGTTATTAGCAGCAAGCTTGCAATCCTCATGAACAGGATGGTTAAATAATACTTTCTCCAGAGTAGCTCCTAAGCCCTGTATGCACTTTTCAATACGCATAGCAATACATCATTTAATTTAACTGAAGATGTATATTGTGTATCAAAAGCACATATAAACCTGTTGTAATTAGTATGTGACATTGCAGATAGTATGCAGTATAACCATAATCTGTTTACAATCTGGATTTATGGAAAAAGTGGAATTTCATTGAGAAGCAACGGTTTTGAAGCAAGAATTGTCCAGGTTTTTTGTTGTTGTTATTAATGATTTATGATTATAATTACTACTTTCGTTGACAATATTTGTAACAATACTATTAAACGTCACGATAAGCCAATTTTTGTAAACGTATGTTTTGCTGTGTCAGGACTATGTACTATGTACACAGGATTGGAACGGTTTCGCTTAACAGTGGGTCTAATATAACTCTTTCGACTTTGTCATATACTGATGCCTTAATTTCTGTCTTTTCAGGACTTGATATTGTTTTTGCTATATCTCAAGTACTGGATGGATCTTTCTGAAATTGCATATGTTCTTACAGCACCTACCATGGAGTGCTATATAATTACAGCACCTACCATGGAGTGCTATATCTTTACTTCATACCAATTATTTTAAACATATTCAGGTGAGCGATACAGGCCCTCTGGGCCTCTTGTTTAACCTAACACCAATCAAATAGCTAGCCGGTGCCTTCATTTTTACTAGAGAGCGAAAATTAGCGTAACCCTTGGATATAACGAGGATGAATTTAGGGGGGATACTGTATATATATAAACTCTGAATTAAAAAATATTAAAACATTGGAACTACATTTGTATGTTGGAGATAAGACACTGTGTGGTGGGTCTATCTCCATTGTTCCTTTTAACTTTTATGATCTTGATACAATTTACATGCTGAGTCAAAAAGAATGTATACATATATGCATGTAACCTGTTTTTTTTCTATCGTCTGAAATATCACCTGCCCTTTTAAATCCTGTGCATTATGTACAGAATGAGACATAATAAACACTTGAAACACAACTCAACAGCACAATGTAAACATTATCAAGGGTTTTGAAGGGTATTTGGTTCAACACTTTAAGCATTTGATGCAATCTGCTTTGTTTGACATTGAAATTATTGTACATTTTTGTTACAGGTGGAGGCGGATAACAACGGCTTTGACAGTTACTACACAAGAGTCAGAGGTAAGTGTTACTACATGTACACAAGAGTCAGTGGTAAGTGTTACTACACAAGAGTCAGTGGTAAGTGTTACTACACAAGAGTCAGTGGTAAGTGTTACTACAGAAGAGTCCGTGGTAAGTGTTACTACACAAGAGTCAGTGGTAAGTGTTACTACACAAGAGTCAGTGGTAAGTGTTACTACACAAGAGTCAGTGGTAAGTGTTACTACACAAGAGTCAGTGGTAAGTGTTACTACACAAGAGTCAGTGGTGAGTCTAACAGGGTAGTCAGTCTGAAAATGTGTTGACATTAGTTACATGCCTATGATTTTTTTTAAGGATTTGAAAACATGTACATAATAGCATCCTTTAAATCATTCACCCCTAAAGTCACATTTGAACTTTACCAAATCAAAGACTAGGCAAAGTAGCTCCTGGCTTCCCGGTTCCAAATAATCAGTTATATGATAGGCTGTAATTTTTTATCAGGATAGGAGAAATGAAACCACTTCCTTGTGACAGAAGATCAGACTCGCTAAGAAATATCTCCAGTATATATAAAACAACAGGGACCTGTCTAAAAGTTAGGTTAAGATAAACAGGTTAAACACTGTAGAAGAAAATATTTGATTTCACATTTGATTTCCCTCTGGTAATGTCAGAGTACCAAAATCTGTAAACCAAATACATTTAAATTAGCTCAGAGTGGCATTTATTGAATGTATATTTAATTGAGTATAACCAGCTGTGTCGCACTTGAAATGTGCCACCAAAATGTAACCCCTGATACTGCTTGTCTGCCACTTACAAATTACAAACTAACTTTCTGTCAAAATGAAACTGGTTCAGTTTTTATATTCTTTTTTTCTTCTTTATCCAAGGTTCTGAGTTCTGTACACTCTATCTTTTATCGATGAGTTTGGAGTTATAACTAGTACGTTGAAACTAATGAAATTGTTTGAAACAACGAATATTATCGTATGACAACCGGTAAATGTAAATTTCTTATCTGCATGTTTGTATACAGAACAGACGTACTATGCGAAAGGGCCTTTAATTGTTGGCTGTCTGGAAATGTTGGCTCGAAAAATATAACAAAATTGTGGGTTTAGGAATACTATTTCACACGTTGATTTTACGATAATGGATGCAAATAAGGTAGAATGACTGGACTTAAAAGTTTCATGATCTTCGTTCTGTATCTGTGAACCCTTACAAATTCTTTTACTGCGAAATCACCAATTTTTGTGTTTTTTTTGTAATTTCATTGACTTAGTGGATTATTTCTTCATCCATGAATTCATAGGTCTACTAAGTTATTACAAGTTCGATATAAAGCCGTTCTCTGTTTGAATGGGTACTCGTATTCTATGAATTCATGTATCTAAGAATTGGTGCTTTGTCGGGAAACCATGAAATTATAGGCTGCGTGAAAATTTGTGTTTTTACAGTATGCCATTTTCTGGGTTAATGTTAGTTACATTACACAGAAAAACCAGCTGGTTGTGACAGTAATTTCAATAAAGTATAACTAAAAGAAAATTGAAATTCAAAGCTAAAATTTAATTTAAAATGTTTAAGGAATCAAAATGAAAAATAGGTCACCTGAGGACAAGATATGTAAAAATACGTTTTAAACAGATGTGTTAATGATTTGATCAGATAAACAGTTTGGAACAGCTGGCTCAGGAATGGATTCGGGCAGAATATTTATAACATGTGTATTGGTAAAATACATGAGTGGATATAGCTACAAAAATTTCATTGGCATGGCATGGTTACATAAATAACTTTGTGAGCTATTAAAGGCCGTACAGTCTAGATCTGAAATGAGATTTTAATCCCAAAATCTCTGAAAAAGAATTCTACCGTTATTGTAACAATCACAATAGCGAGATGTATGAGAGTTGGTTCAGGGAAAATTTATTACATATTGATGTAAAACAACAAGAGAATACTGGAGTGTCGACAAAACCATAACTCAAACTCCAAATAAATAAAACTAGGGCAAAAACTGAACAAAGGAAAGATTACATAAAGCACCTTGAAAAAGTACAAGGATAATAAGACCAGGTGTTCCAGAAGGGTAAGCGTCTTCTGCTTCATTGATGTCACTCGTCACATAGATGTCAGGTTGTATATAGATTTACCCGGTAAGTACATTTATAAATTTAAATACATGTATACATTTTAAGCTCACCTAGTCCGAAGAACCATGGTGAGCTTATGCCATACCGCAGCGTCCGTCGTCCGTCGTCCGTCCGTCAACTTTTCCTTTAAAACGCTACTAGTCATGAACGACTGAGCAGATTTTGACCAAATTTGGTCAGAAGCATCCTTGTGGGAAGGGGATTTTTTTGTATAAATGATGGGTGTGCCCCC